ACATCACACCATTACTAGTAACACTACCATACTATAACTATAACCAGTCACTACCACTACTATAACTATAACCAGTCACCTACCACTACTATAACTATAACCAGTCACTACCACTACTATAACTATAACCAGTCACTACCATTACTACTTAGACACTACCACTACTATAACTATAACCAGTCACTACCACTATTATAACTATAACCAGTCAACTACCACTACTATAACTATAACCAGTCACTACCACTACTATAACTATAACCAGTCACTACACTACTATAACTATAACAGTCACTACCACTACTATAACTATAACCAGTCACTACCACTACATACTATAACCATCACTACCTATATAACTATAACCAGTCACTACCACTATTAACTAACCAGTCACTACCACTACTATAACTATAACCAGTCACTACCATTACAAATATAACCAGTCACTACCACTACTATAACTATACAGTCACTACACTACTAAACTATAACCAGTCACTACCACTACTGAACTATAACCAGTCACTACCACTACTCTTTATAACTATAACCAGTCACTACCATTAACTAAGCAGACACTACCAACTACAACTATAAACCAGTCACTACATCCCACTGTAGACACTACCACTCTATAAACTATAACCAGTCACTACCACTACTATAACTATAACCAGTCACTACCACTACATATAACTATAACCAGTCACTACCATACTATAACTTAACAGACACTACTACTATGTCACTAACTACTAACTACGTCACTCCCATTACTACTGTAGACACTACCACTATATACCTATAACCAGTCACTACCACTACTATAACTATAACCAGTCACTACCACTACTATAAATATAACCAGTCAACCACTACTATAACAAAACCAGTCACAACCACTACTATAACTATAACCAGTCACTACCACTACTATACTTAAACCAGTCACACCACTACTATAACGGACTAACTACAGACACTACCACTACTAAAACTATAACAGTCACTACCATTACTACTGTAGACACTACCACTACTAAACTATAACCAGTCACTACCACATTAAACTATAACTAGTTAAACCAGTACTACCATACATAACTAGAACAGGACACTACCACTACTATAAACAAAACCCAGTCATACCACTACTATAAACAATAACCAGTCACTACCACTACTATACTGAAAGTCACTTACCACTACTATAACTATAACCAGTACACCATTACTACTGCAAGTACATACTTACGCACTACTATAACGTATACCAGTCACACCATAGGTCACTAATACATAATTTATAACCAGTCACTACCATTACTAGCATACACTATAACTATAACCAGTCACTACCACTACTATAACTATAACCAGTCACTACCACTACTATCTATCCACTACCATACTATAACTATAACCCAGTCACTACCACACTATAACTAAACAGTCACTACCACTACTATAACTATAACCAGTCACCACCATTACTAACTATAACCAGTCACTACCATTAACTAACGTAGTCACTCCCACTACTATAACTATAACCAGTCACTCCCATTACATACTGTAGACACTACCACTACTATAACTATAACCAGTCACTACCACTACTATAACTATAACCAGTCATACCACTACTATAACTATAACCAGTCCCCACCTACTATAAACTATAACCAGTCACTACCACTACTAAAAACTATAACCAGTCACTACCACTACTATAACTATAACCAGTCACACCAACTATAAAAACCAGTCACAATACTACTACTATAACAAAACCCAGTAAACCAATACTAAACTATAACCAGTCATACATTGCCACTGTAGACACTACCACTACTATACAAACCAGACACTACCACTACTATAACTATAAACCAGTCACTACCACTACTATAAACTATAACCAGTCACCACCACTACTATAACTATAAACCAGTCATACCACTACTATATAACTCTAACCAGACACTACCAATACTATAACTATAACCAGTCACTACCATACTATAACTATAACCAGTCACTACCAATTACTACTGCAGACACTACCACTATTATAACTATAACCCAGTCACTACTCACTACTATAACTATAACCAGTCACTACCACTACTTATAACATAACAGACACTACCATTACTACTGCAGTCACTACCACTACTATAACTATAACCAGTCACTACCACTACTATAACTATAACCAGTCACCACCACTACTATAACTATTAAACAGTCACTACCATTACTATGCAGACACTACCCATACTATAACTATAACCAGTCACTACCCACTACTATAACTATAACCAGTCACTACCATTACTATGCGACACTACCCACTACATAACTATAACCAGTCCCCCCACCTACTACCATACTAAACTAACAGTCACTACCACTACTATAACTATAACCAGTCACTACCATACTATAACTATAACCAGTCACTACCACTACTATAACTATAACCAGTCACTACCACTCTAAACTATAACCAGTCACTACCACTACTATAATATAACCAGTCACTACCATACACTGCACACTACCACTACATAACTATAACAGTCACTACCACTTCTATAACTATAACCAGTCACTACCATTCATACTACTGCAGTCACTACCACTACTATAACTATAACCAGTCACTACCATTACCTAATGTCACTACCACTACTATAAACTATAACCAGTCAACTACCACTACTAAAATAACCAGTCACTACCACTACTAAACTATAACCAGTCACTACCATTACTATAACTAAAAACCAGTACTACCACTACTATAACTATAACAGTCACTACCACTACTATAACTATAAACCAGTCACCACCATTATACTGCAGTCATCCCAAACAAATAACTATAACCAGTCACTACCACTACTAAAAACTATAACCAGTCACTACCACTACTAAAACTAGAACCAGTCATACCACTACTATAACTATAACCAGTCACTACCATTACTATAAACTATACCACATACCACCCACTACTATAACTATAACCAGTCACTACCACTAATAACTATAACCAGTCACTACCACTACTATAACTATAACCAGTCACTACCATTACTATAACATAACCAGTCACTACCATTACTATAACTATAACCAGTCACCACCACTACTATACTATAACAGTCACTACCACTACTATAACTATAACCAGTCCCCCACCATACTACTGCAGTCACTACCACTACTGAACTATAACCCAGTCACTACCCTACTATAACTAAAACCCAGTCACTACCATACTATAACTAAACCAGTCACTACCACTACTATAACACACCAGTCACTACCATTACTACTGTAGACACTACCACTACTATAACTATAACCGTCACTACCACGTCACTACCTACTATAACTATAACCAGTCACTACCACTACTATAACTAGAACCAGTCACTACCACTACTATAACTATAACCAGTCACTACCACTACTATAACTATAACCAGTCACTACCACTACTATAACTATAACCAGTCACTACCACTACTATAACTATAACCAGTCACTACCACTACTATAACTATAACCAGTCACTACCATTACTACTGCAGACACTACCACTATTATAACTATAACCAGTCACCACCATTACTACTGCAGTCACTACCACTACTATAACTATAACCAGTCACTACCACTACTATAACTATAACCAGTCACTACCACTACTATAACTAGAACCAGTCACTACCACTACTATAACTACAACCAGTCACTACCACTACTATAACTATAACCAGTCACTACCACTACTATAACTATAACCAGTCACCACCATTACTACTGCAGACACTACCACTACTATAACTATAACCAGTCACTACCACTACTATAACTATAACCAGTCACTATCACTACTATAACTATAACCAGTCACTACCATTACTACTGCAGACACTACCACTACTATAACTATAACCAGACACTACCACTACTATAACTATAACCAGTCACTACCACTACTATAACTATAACCAGTCACTACCACTACTACAACTATAACCAGTCACTACCATTACTACTGTAGACACTACCACTATTATAACTATAACCAGTCACTACCACTACTATAACTATAACCAGACACTACCACTACTATAACTATAACCAGTCACTACCACTACTATAACTATAACCAGTCACTATCACTACTATAACTATAACCAGTCACTACCATTACTACTGCAGACACTACCACTACTATAACTATAACCAGTCACTACCACTACTATAACTATAACCAGTCACTACCATTACTACTGCAGACACTACCACTAGTATAATTTATTTCACATTCATAAATACTTCAATAATAATAGAAGCTATCAAGCACACCACATTTTCTGTAGGAAATATACAGCACTATTCTAGTCAGGATCTGGCTTTGTGATATGTGAGAATGACTCCGTATACTACAAATGTGACCGATATGTATATATAGTATCACTGAATCAACAGGATGAAATACTAATGTATATATAGTATCACTGAATCAACAGGATGAAATACTAATGTATATATAGTATCACTGAACATGTGCCTATTTCTTATTGAAAAACGAACGGTATTGAAAGAATGAACAAAAAGTTGGAACATAAAATAAAGCGCTTAACATTTGCACCACGTGACTTCCTGTTGTGGACTCTCACTTCCTTGGCGGCAGCTCCCAAACCAGAAACGGATCAATATACTTACGAAGATCCTCTACTTTTGTTGTTTTAGCGTACGTCGTATTGAGGTATAGCGCGCTAACTCCGCTACTTTTCTATTCATATTTCGCTTATAAATAAGCTTGCCGATATGGGCTGTTAACTTTGCCGACTTGTTAGCTAGCTAGATAGCTTGCTAAAACATAGCTAACGTTAGCTAGCTAGCTAGCTACAACCAGCTTTAACTAACTAGCAAGCGAATAAGAAGGCTATCTAGCTCGGTAATAATGAACCATGTCTAGCTCTTTGACGGCAGAGCAGCAGCGGAAGATCGAGGAGAACAGACAGAGAGCTTTAGCGATTAGAGCGCAGAGACATGCTGCTCAGTCAAACAACCAGACGCCGATATCAGTCCTCAACAACCCAGCCAGTGGCCCTCGGCAAGGCAACCAGACGCCAATATCAGTCCTCAACAACCCAGCCAGTGGCCCTCGGCAAGGCAACCAGACGCCAATATCAGTCCTCAACAACCCAGCCAGTGGCCCTCGGCAAGGCAACCAGACGCCAATATCAGTCCTCAACAACCCAGCCAGTGGCCCTCAGCAAGGCACTAGCACTCACTCTGGTCTAGCTGTTCCAAGAGGGACACCTTCTAATTCAACTCCCCGAACAGGACCAACGCATAATACTGTGCCTCAGAATTATGTCCCACAGGGTCAAGACAGGAGACCTAACCAGTTGTTTTCTAGGCCAAGGGACAAGTCTGGACAGAATTCACCAGTCTCCAATACTGCCACTAAACAGGTGAGGAGTGATAGCTTGACGTTTTGTACAGTTATATTTGTTTTTGGTGTGTGTTTCTAATCTACTGTTTTTGTGTTTGTCTCCTCAGGTGAAAGTAATAGACCCACTACCTCTCCCAAAGGGACAACATTCCTTGAAAGGGTTAGATGTGTTTACCAGAGAAAGCCCACCTGTGTTCAAACCCCCACAGCCAAAGACAGCAGTGTTACCTGGTCCATCTCCTTCTTCTACAAGTGCAACTGGCAGTTTCTGTGTTTCTACACCTCATCCAAAGACCTCTTCTCCTGGTCTGTCTTCCAGTTCTGGAAGTGCCACTGGTAGTTTCTATAAACAAGGAACCAAACATGGAGCCACATCCCCATCTGTCCAGAGTGCAGTGAGACGGCAGCCTTCCTCCAGCAGTACTGACATTAGCAATTCTGTACCTGCGAAGACCCCTGCCGTCACAGTCAGAGGAAAATGTGTCTCTCACTCAGAGGAGCGTTTCAGAGTGGAAGTCAGCTACCATGCTGAGCTGATTGCTGTGTTCAAAAACATCCCTTCTCGGAACTATGGTGAGTTTTAATGGATGCATTTCAATTCATCCTGGTGATTTTCTCGTTGAAAGGGGAAATACAGCTCTACAAAGTGCAATAACTATTTCCTTTCTATTCCTTACCCTTAGATTACCCACACTTGTTTTCTATGTCTTCTTGTATCGCCAACAGACCCTGCTACAAAGATGTGGAACTTCAGTCTTGAGGACCATCGTCAGCTAAGTATGAGGCCTCGGATACTTTGAGAAGATAATCAAATGTATCGGTCAAGAAAAGATGTTGTCTTTTTCCCAAATTACACTCTCTTCCCTACAGGGCTCTGGTCAAAAGTAGTGCGCTGTATACGGAGTAGGGTGCCATTTGGGGCTGTCTAAAAAAAGGCCCATGTATTTCCTGTTGTAGTGGAGGAGGCAGGCTCCATCTCCTGTGTATGTCTGAAACCTCTGGAGGGGATGGGGGGTATTGCCGTGGCGGCGGCGGCGGCGTCTAGCCGGTCCCGTGACGCTCCTGCGCCGGCGGCCCTGCTGAAGCTGTGTAGTGGCTGGCAGAGACCAGGGGCCACCGTACAGGGCCACGCCACCCTGGTGTCACGATCACGCTTCGAGGTCGCCGTTGGCTACCATGTTGACGTCATCGCTGCTTTCAAACAGATGCCGTCCAAGAACTATGGTAAGTGGAACCTGTTTAGGGCTGTTGCGGTGACCGTATTACCGCCACACCCGCAGTCAAATTCCACCTGACCGTTGAGTCACGGTAATATCCTTTTATACACTGGACATGCGTTGGTAGTAGATTATTACAATTTAACTCGTTGGTAAAAAATTATAACAAAAATATAAAGATTTAAGTTGTCTTTGGTACTTAATTGGTCTAGCCAATACTTCAAAATTAAACTAATTCTAGTAATGGCCTTTGAGTGTGGCCTGTATTATTATGAATCCTGGATGGACTGGTTACCTAATGCTACGCTCCAAACCTTCTATAGGCCTAGGCGATGCTGTTGGTTCATTGATTGTGCAGGGCGACTTACAGAGAATTATAGTGAATTTGTATTTCATAGGCTGACACATTACCTTAAGCTACAGAATATCTCACCACAGTGAGTTTCCATCTCCTCCCTTCTCGCCTTCATTCCTTTCTCCAGCGCGCAGAGAGGGAGGGGCTGTCAACCGTTTTAATTAAATATGTTTCGTTGTGAAAACATGTTACTATCGATGTTCCCAAACAGATTTCACTTGGTTTCCCAAATTAAGCACTGGGTAGCTGGAGGAACAGGGTTGGAGAGCCCATGGCATACAGAGTACTGGGTAGCTGGAGGAACAGGGTTGGAGAGCCCGTGGCATACGGAGTTTGGGCGGAATATCACCTGCCGCGCAGCGAGAGGCTGCATGCTCCTCAAACAGTGGTTGATGTGTGAAGTGAAATAAGTGTTCTTATAAGCCCAGACGTTTCAATCCTGAGTGAAATCAGTTTTGATGGTTGCTGCTAAAAAAAAGGAGGATCCCAGCTGCTACTATATATTTTATCAGCTGCTCCTCTATAAAACCAGAGTAGCCTAACCAGCATGATTTCAACTGCAGGAAAGCGGCCTCCATTCGCTATTCCAGTGCCCATGTTCCTACCTGTTTGATAATGGGTCATTCTAAATCGAAACATATTAGTAAAGATGAAATAGAGAAAATGATCACTTGATGAGAGAAAAGGGCCTGAGGCAAGGAACAGAGTGTTGCGGCTTTTAAATAGTCAATAGCCTGTAGTCGCATCATGCAGCCCACATGTTTAGATTTTTAAGACATTCTAAGGTTTGTGTCATTCACATTCAAATTAGCCAAATAACTCTAAATCTAGCATATAGGACCTGTTTCAAATGATCACTTTTACGCTCAACATAGCAACTTCATCATAATAATAATAATAATATGCCATTTAGCAGACGCTTTTATCCAAAGCGACTTAGTCATGTGTGCATACATTTTTATGCAGTCGCTCCGGAATGGGAAAAATATCCTTTCTATTTTATTCAGCTAAGTTCAATTATATTCTTCTTAAAATAATATAAATAATGGTACGGGACTTATAAGCATATCTTGTCTGCTAAATTAACTAGCCTATGGCATGGAGCATAAGAGCTGTTAAACATATTTATGTTATTTTTTTATTAACGATCAATTACCGTGATACTTGCATTTGCATGACAATAACCGGCTGACAGAATTTCATGACCGTCACGGCCCCAGAGCTGTTTGTTCATTTTCAATAGTTTTCAAGCGTATTATTTTATTTTCATATATTCATCAGTATGACGTTTTGGATAGCTCTTTGTAATATTATATATTGTCTCTTCTGTTAAGATATGAAGACAAGGAAGTGGAGCTTCTTGCTTGAGGATTATAAAAGACTTAGTGAGTATTATCCTGTTGTAGTCATTGGTTAGACACTTCATGGTCATGTGTCCTCTAGCCTTCTCTGCTGAATGTTCTGCGTCTCTGTGTTCTATATTCAGTGACTGTTCTGTGTTCTATATTCAGTGACTGTTCTGTGTTCTATATTCAGTGACTGTTCTGTGTTCTATATTCAGTGAATATTCTGTTCTATGTTCAGTGAATGTTCTGTTCTATGTTCAGTGAATGTTCTGTTCTATATTCAGTGAATGTTCTGTTCAGTGAATGTTCTATATTCAGTGAATGTTTTGTGTTCTATTTTCAGTGAATGTTCTATGCTCTGTGTGACTCAATATTCCGTGTCCTACTTCCCAGTGGATGCTCTTGGTACCATTCCATCAGTAGAGATTGAGCCTCTCCCTAGGGTTGTGGTCCAGGCGTTCTCTGCCCTGTTTGAAGGCAGCCAGACGTGGCCATCAGAGGTTCCTGAAGCTGACCTGTCCTCCATCGACCCCTCATTGACACGTAGTCTCATGCCCTTCCAGAGAGACGGTGTCAAGTAGGTGTTATTCTCACTGTTAACATTACCATACAATTGGGTGTTATTCATTAGGGCACACCATAGCAAAACGTTTAGCAATGGAAAGCAGAAATTAGCGTTTCATATTGGATATTTCCAATCCCACGTTTCCGGTTTTTTTCTCCTTCGTTTTGTGCCTAATGAATTCAACTCTTATGTATCTGGTTCTTCTTCGCAATAGCCAAAAAGGATGTTTTATATTGTGATAATCAGTCTGTTTGTATTAAACCTTGGTTGTCTCGCTAGGAATACAGAGTTTGATGGTTCTTGATTAATGGTCTGTTTGTATGCAGTTGTATTAAACCTTGGTTGTCTCCTCCAGCTTTGCGGTGTCCAAAGATGGCCGCCTCCTCCTGGCGGATGACATGGGTCTGGGGAAGACAGTTCAGGCCATCTGCATAGCTGCCTACTACAGGAAAGAGTGGCCTCTATTAGTGGTGGCCCCCTCTTCGGTCAGATTCACCTGGGCTGAGGTACAACCACATCTGTTGTGAAGTTAGCTAAAGACTTGCATCTATTATTAACTATATACGTTGGTATTATTATTATCTTATTAGCTATAGGTCTAGACTATGGTATTTATTAAAATGATAAATTGTGTAATTTCCTCAGTGCCAATAAAGGTCATGGAGTGGTACATTATTGAGGAATACAAAGTTAGTTTTGTATTTCCCCTGATGGTTCTTGATGGATCGGTTCTGTTCTTTCTGTTTAGGGGACAAACTGCCATTCCTGTTGTCCATGAATTCAATAGACACTGTCAATCATGTCCAGGGGTATACAGTTGAAGTCGGAAGTTTACATACACTTAGGTTGGCGTTATTAAAACAAGTTTTTCAACCACTCCACACATTTCTTGTTAACAAAGTATAATTTTGACAAGTCGGTTAGGACATCTACTTTGTGCATGACACAAGTCATTTTTCCAACAATTGTTTACAGACAGATTATTTCACTTATAATTCACTGTATCACAATTCCAGTGGGTCAGAAGTTTACATACACTAAGTTGACTGTGCCTTTAAACGGCTTGGAAAATTCCAGAAATTGATGTCATGGCTTTAGAAGCTTCTGATAGGCTAATTGACATCATTTGAGTCAATTGGAGGTGTACCTGTTGATGTATTTCAAGGCCTACCTTCAAACTCAGTGCCTCTTTGCTTGACATCATGGGAAAATCAAAAGAAATCAGCCAAGACCTCAGAAAAAAATTGTAGACCTCCACAAGTCTGGTTCATCCTTGGGAGGAATTTCCAAACGCCTGAAGGTACCACGTTCATCTGTACAAACAATAGTACGCAAGTATAAACACCATGGGACCACGCAGCCGTCAAACCGCTCAGGAAGGAGACGCGTTCTGTCTCCTAGAGATGAACGTACTTTGGTGTGAAAAGTGCAAATCAATCCCAGAACAACAGCAAAGGACCTTGTGAAGATGCTGGAGGAAACGGGTACAAAATTATCTATATCCACAGGAAAACGAGTCCTATATCGACAACCTGAAAGGCTGCTCAGCAAGGAAGAAGCCACTGCTCCAAAACCGCCATAAAAAAGCCAGACTACGGTTTGCAACTGCATAGATCATACTTTTTGGAGAAATGTCCTCTGGTCTGACGAAACAAAAATAGAACTGTTTGGCCATAATGACCATCGTTATGTTTGCAGGAAAAAGGGGGTTGCTTGCAAGCCGAAGAACACCATCCCAACCGTGAAGCACGGGGGTGGCAGCATCATGCTGTGGGGGTGCTTTGCTGCAGGAGGGACTGGTGCACTTCACAAAATAGATGGTATCATAAGGAAGGAAAATTATGTGGATATATTGAAGCAACATCTCAAGACATTAGTCAGGAAGTTAAAGCTTGGTCGCAAATGGGTCTTCCAAATGGACAATGACCCAAGCATACTTCCAAAGTTGTGGCAAAATGGCTTAAGGACAACAAAGTCAAGGTATTGGAGTGGCCATCACAAAGCCCTGACCTCAATCCTATAGAAAATGTGTGGGCAGAACTGAAAAAGCATGTGCGAGCAAGGAGGCCTACAAACCTGACTCAGTTACACCAGCTCTGTCAGGAGGAATGGGCCAAAATGTACCCAACTTATTGTGGGAAGCTTGTGGTAGGCTACCTGAAACGTTTGACCCAAGTTAAACAATTTAGAGGCAATGCTACCAAATACTAATTGAGTGAATGTAAACTTCTGACCCACTGGGAATGTGATGAAATAAATAAAAGCTGAAATAAATCATTCTCTCTACTATTATTTCACATTCTTAAAATAAAGTGGTGATCCTAACTGACCTAAGACAGGGAATTGTTACTAGGATTAAATGTCAGGAATTGTGAAAAACGGAGTTTAAATGTATTTGGCTAAGGTGTATGTAAACCTCCGACTTCAACTGTATATTGCTATTCTTTACACATTAGTGTTAGTGGAATCTGGAGGGGTTTCAATTAAGGAGAACAAAGTGGGTTGTTATTAGCTAAGTCCTTTGTTTCGAAGTGCTGTGAATGATTCAAGCAGTCTAATTCCTTTGTGTAGTCCTGTAGCTTCGTTAGGTCATTTATCTTCAAGAAGAAAAACTGCAATATTGAATTGCAAGAAGCATTTTCTTTGTCTCGAGTGCACCCAGGAAATTAAACAGGTCATATTTGGGCATGCAACACCAGAGGCTGGAAAGGGGGGTGTTCTGTTTATTAAAGGACAGGGAAAGGAGGGTACCTAGTCAGTTGTATAACTGAGTGCATTCAACTGAAATATGTCTGTATGGAATAGGGTTTTATCTGTCAATTATTTGCTTCACCTGCAATGAAATGAAAGTTGGTCTCCATCAGTCCTTTGTCCTATTCATCCCTCTGACTGGTCTCTTGTTATCCCTCATGGTTCTGATGTGTTCTGCTCCATCAGGGTGTGTGTTAGTGGTTCTAAAATATACCCTTGTAGTGTAAGGGGTACTGTCGAATTGGAGCAAGGGGCTAGTTCTCATTTAATTGCCGCATCAGGTTTACAATCAAAGAGGAAGGTCTTAGACCGCCAGAAGTGTCCATATGTTGCTGCTGTTACCTCTACTGTTCCTCCCAGACGTGCTCTAGAATATATAGCATTGGAGTGGTAACTGGGGTAACTAGTTTGAGATAAAGCCACAGCAGTCGGTTTGAAACTTTAGGGCCATTGAATGTGGTTATAGCTAGAATAGATTTAAATGTTGTCTTTCTCTGCATGATTGGCCTCTTTCAAAAACATGGACGTCACAATGTTAACCTTAATGATCGTCAAGGAGGAACCATACACTCCGGGACACCACGTTCACCAAAATGGATCGCTCCTACAGACAGTGAGTCACGTGGCCGTGACTTGCTATATAAAGCAGGCAGACAGGCATCGAGGCATTCAGTTACTGTTCGATTGAACATTAGAATGGGAACAATGAGTGGCCTAAGCAACTTTTAACGTGGTATGACCGTCGGTTCCAGTATCTCAGAAACGGCTGACCTCCTGGGCTTCCAGGGTTTACTGAGAATGGAGCGACAAACAAAAAACATCCAGTCAGCGGCCGTCCTGTGGGCGAAAACACAGCGGCCGTCCTGTGGGCGAAAACAACTCGTTGATGAGAGGGGTTCGAAGGAGAATGGCAAGTATTGTGCAAGCTAACAGGCGGCCCAAAAACAGACAAATAACGGCGCAGTACAACAGTGGTGTGCAGAACGGCATCTCGGAAACACACAACTCGTTGGTCCTTGTGTCACGAATGGGCTGTTGCAGCAGACGACCACACCAGGATCCACTCCTCCATCAGCGGCTCCAGTGGGCACGCGGTCAACAACACTGGACAATTGAGGAGTGGAAAAACATCGCCTGGTCCTACGAATCCCGGTTCCTGTTGCGTCATGCTGATGCCAGAGTCAGGATCTGGCATAAGCAGCATGAGTCCATGGCCCCATCCTGCCTGGTGCCAACGGTACAGGCTGGTGGCGGTGGTGTAATGGTGTGGGGAATGTTTTCCTGGCACACGTTAGGTCCCTTGATACCAATTGAGCAACATTTGAATGCCACACCTTGTAGAATCCATGCCCCGAAGAATTTAGGCTGTTCTGGAGGCAAAGGGAGGTCCGACCCAGTACTAGATTGGTGTACCTAATAAACTGAGTATATATGGACGCTTACATAGTAACCCATTTTTAAATGATGTTGAGAAAATATGAATTAAAGGTAGACTCAGAAATATGGTCTAAGTTATAGTAATTGTTTTTTACTGCACCTGTCATTGGTCCTACACTAAAACCTGAAAGCCTTTGTTGGGCTGTGTTTTGTTTAGAGAATCTGCTAAGCATCCAGTGGGCACATATGTCAACTCTACAGGATGCCATTGTTCACAGCGGGTATCTCCCCTCCTCTCCAGGCGTTCAGGCGGTGGCTGCCATCTGTGCAGCCTGACAGTATCAATGTGATTGTCAAAGGGAAAGACAACCTGAGGGGTGGTCTGGTCAACATCATCAGCTATGATCTACTGAGCAGGATGGACAAGAAGCAGGCAGCTAACCCCTTCAATGTCCTCATCATGGATGAGTCCCACTTTCTGAAGAACATGAAGACTGCCCGCTTTAAGTCTGCCTTGCCACTGCTCAAGGTGATGATGATTCTCTTTACTCTTAGGATCCTTGGAATTTAGGCTACAAATGTATATATTCTATGTAACAATGTAACAAACGTAATAGTGAAGTTTTCATTTGATCTCTAAGACTGTTGGGTTGGACTGTGTTCTCATTAGTGTGTTGTCACTGTCTCCAGTCAGCAAAGACTGTTGGATTAGTTAGATAGCTGACTGGAGACCGTGACAACACTAAGATTGTTGTTCTATGTTCTCAATCTCAGGTAGCTAAGCGTGTGATCCTGCTGTCGGGGACTCCTGCCATGTCCAGACCCTCAGAGCTCTACAGTCAGATCCTGGCTGTCAAGCCCTCCCTGTTCCCCCGCTTCCATGACTTTGGGACCAGATACTGCAATGCCAGACAGGTAAGTTTAGCCTACAGTACATTATCCTAGACCCGCCTGTTACTCTACAGGCTCTAGACCCGCCTGTTACCACTCTACAGGCTCTAGACCCGCCTGTTACTCTACAGGCTCTAGACCCGCCTGTTACTCTACAGGCTCTAGACCCGCCTGTTACCACTCTACAGGCTCTAGACCCGCCTGTTACTCTACAGGCTCTAGACCCGCCTGTTACTCTACAGGCTCTAGACCCGCCTGTTACTCTACAGGCTCTAGACCCGCCTGTTACTCTACAGGCTCTAGACCCGCCTGTTACCACTCTACAGGCTCTAGACCCGCCTGTTACTCTACAGGCTCTAGACCCGCCTGTTACTCTACAGGCTCTAGACCCGCCTGTTACTCTACAGGCTCTAGACCCGCCTGTTACTCTACAGGCTCTAGACCCGCCTGTTACTCTACAGGCTCTAGACCCGCCTGTTACTCTACAGGCTCTAGACCCGCCTGTTACTCTACAGGCTCTAGACCCGCCTGTTACTCTACAGGCTCTAGACCCGCCTGTTACTCTACAGGCTCTAGACCCGCATGTTACTCTACAGGCTCTAGACCCGCCTGTTACCACTCTACAGGCTCTAGACCCGCCTGTCACCACTCTACAGGCTCTAGACCCGCCTGTTACTCTACAGGCTCTAGACCCGCATGTTACTCTACAGGCTCTAGACCCGCCTGTTACCACTCTACAGGCTCTAGACCCGCCTGTTACTCTACAGGCTCTAGACCCGCCTGTTACCACTCTACAGGCTCTAGACCCGCCTGTTACTACTCTACAGGCTCTAGACCCGCCTGTTACCACTCTACAGGCTCTAGACCCGCCTGTTACCACTCTACAGGCTCTAGACCCGCCTGTTACTCTACAGGCTCTAGACCCGCCTGTTACCACTCTACAGGCTCTAGACCCGCCTGTTACCACTCTACAGGCTCTAGACCCGCCTGTTACCACTCTACAAGCTCTAGACCCGCCTGTTACCACTCTACAGGCTCTAGAGCCGCCTGTTACTACTCTACAGGCTCTAGACCCGCCTGTTACTACTCTACAGGCTCTAGACCCGCCTGTTACTACTCTACAGGCTCTAGACCCGCCTGTTACCACTCTACAGGCTCTAGACCCGCCTGTTACCACTCTACAGGCTCTAGAGCCGCCTGTTACTACTCTACAGGCTCTAGACCCGCCTGTTACTACTCTACAGGCTCTAGACCCGCCTGTTACCACTCTACAAGCTCTAGACCCGCCTGTTACCACTCTACAGGCTCTAGAGCCGCCTGTTACTACTCTACAGGCTCTAGACCCGCCTGTTACTACTCTACAGGCTCTAGACCCGCCTGTTACTACTCTACAGGCTCTAGACCCGCCTGTTACCACTCTACAGGCTCTAGACCCGCCTGTTACCACTCTACAGGCTCTAGACCCGCCTGTTACCACTCTACAGGCTCTAGACCCGCCTGTTACTACTCTACAGGCTCTAGACCCGCCTGTTACTACTCTACAGGCTCTAGACCCGCCTGTTACCACTCTACAGGCTCTAGACCCGCCTGTTACTCTACAGGCTCTAGACCCGCCTGTTACCACTCTACAGGCTCTAGACCCGCCTGTTACCACTCTACAGGCTCTAGACCCGCCTGTTACCACTCTACAAGCTCTAGACCCGCCTGTTACCACTCTACAGGCTCTAGAGCCGCCTGTTACCACTCTACAGGCTCTAGACCCGCCTGTTACCACTCTACAGGCTCTAGACCCGCCTGTTACCACTCTACAGGCTCTAGACCCGCCTGTTACCACTCTACAGGCTCTAGACCCGCCTGTTACCACTCTACAGGCTCCAGACCCGCCTGTTACCACTCTACAGGCTCCAGACCCGCCTGTTACCACTCTACAGGCTCTAGACCCGCCTGTTACCACTCTACAGGCTCTAGACCCGCCTGTTACCACTCTACAGGCTCTAGACCCGCCTGTTACCACTCTACAGGCTCTAGACCCGCCTGTTACCACTCTACAGGCTCTACTCTACAGACTCTACTCTACAGGCAGTAGAGGACTGTAAGTTCAGCCTAAACCTGGCTCCCCTCAGGTTCCCAGGGGTTTATATGTGCAGCTATTTGTTGTATTTGTATGTATAATTGGCTGGGATTTGAATAGATCTAATTCATGATGAATTCATTTAGGGCTGTTTAGTTGACAGGTCGATTGTTTGGTCGATACGCTGTTGGTCAACCAAGATTTCTTAAGTCGACAAGTAGCAGAAAATAAAATGTCATGGTGTACAAGACACCTGTCTGATTGGCTCCTGTCTGAGTGGACTGATCCATTATGGAGGCCTGTCTGAGTGGACTGATCCATTGTGGAGGCCGTGGGGATGGCACAGTCCATCACGCTGAGACATGAGATACTGAAATTGTATATTGTTATATTACATAAGAACAATGGTGCAACACTAATAAAAAAGTATATTATTTTATAACAAATGCGCTTCCTCCCGCGTTGGATAGTGGTCGCTGTCCACGGTTCTGAAACACATCAGTGCCTTTTCCTAGACCATGTTACTATGTTTACTCGTCATATCCAATTGGTAGTTAGTCTTCTCCCATCGCTGCAACTCCTGTACGGACTCGGGAGATGCGAAGGTCGAGAGCCGTGCGTCCTCAAACACAACCCCGCCAAGCCGCACTGCTTCTTGACACACTGCACGCTTAACCCGGAAGCCAGCAGCACCAATGTGTCAGAGGAAACAATGTACACCTGCCGACCGTGTCAGCGTGCAGGCGCCCGGCCCGCCACAAGGAGTCGCTAGAGTGCGATGGGACAAGGACATCCCGGCCGGCCAAACCCTCCCCTAACCCGGACGACGCTGGGCCTCATGGGTCTCCCGGTCGCGGCCGGCTACTATACAGCCCGGTATCGAACCAGGATCTAGCAGCAGCTACTCTTCCTGTTGTCCACATAAAACATGACATAATACAGAACATTAATAGACAAGAACAGCTCAAGAACAGAACTACATCAATTTATAAACGGCACATGTAGCCTACATATCAATACATACACACAAACTATCTAGGTCAAATAGGGGAGAGGCGTTGTTTATCTGTTGAAACCAGGTTTCCTGTTTACTTGAGCAATATGAGATGGACCGGAGTTCCATTAAATAATGGCTCTATATAATACTGTACGCTTTCTTGAATTGGTCTGGATTTGGGGACTGTGAAAAGACCCCTGGTGGCATGTCTGGTGGGGTAAGTGTGTGTATCAGAGCTGTGTGTAAGTTGACTATGCAAACCATTAGAATTTTCAAAACATTAATGTTTCTTAATAAAACCTGACTGTTCGGCGTTGTAACCGACTTCAGTGGGCAAATGCTCACCTTCAATGGCCACTGGCACACTGGAGAAGTGTGCTCTTCACGGATGAATCACGGTTTCAACTGTACTGGGCAGATGGCAGATGGCGTGTATGGCGTCGTGTGGGCGAAAGGTTTGCTGATGTCAATGTTGTGAACAGAGTGCCCCATGGTGGGGTTATGGTACGGGCAGGCATAAGCTACGGACAACGAACACAATTGGAAATGTAATGATGGCAATTTGAATGCGTAGAGATACCGTGACAAGATCCTGAGGCCCATTGTCCTGCCGTTCATCCGCCACCATCACATCAGGTTTCAGCATGATAATGAACGGCCGCATGTCACAATGATCTGTACACAATTCCTGGAAGCTGAAAATGTCCCAGTTCTCCCATGGCCTGCATACTCACCAGACATGTCACCCATTGAGCATGTTTGGGATGCTCTGGATCGACGTGTACGACAGCGTGTTCCAGTTCCAACCAATATCCAGCAACTTCGCAAAGCCATTGAAGAGGAGTGGGGCAACATTCCACAGGCCATAATCAACAGCCTGATCAACTCTATGCGAAGGAGATGTGTCGCTCTGCATGAGGAAAATGGTGGTCACACCAGATACTGACTGGTTTTCTGATCCACCTCCCTTCTTTTTTTTAAGGTATCTGTGACCAACAGATGAATATCTGTATTCACAGTCATGTGAAATCCATAGATTAGGGCCTAATGAATTTATTTCAATTGACTGATTTATTTATATGAACTGTAACTCAGTAAAAGCTTTGAAATTGTTGCATGTTGCGTTTTTATATTTTTGTTCAGTGTATATACAGTATATTGCCAATGTGATCATATACCTACATTTTAAAAAATATAATTTCTAAATGGTCTGAGAAGAACAACATTAGCAAGTCAATTCAAGCGTAGCCAATATGCAGTGATAATATACTGGGCCTATAGCCTACTGAACAAACCTCATTACTACAGAACTGTTTTTAAATGGTTCATGTTGCATAGGCTTACGCTTTCTGTCATGTTAAAAAAAAAATCTCAGTGGTAGATCTCTGCTTGCATTTTGACTCAAAGTGCTCTTGACTCAAAAGGTTGGTGGAAATAATATTGTTTTATAACAAATGCGCTTTCTCCCGCGTTGGATAGCGGTCGCTGTCCATGGTTCTGAAACACATCAATGCGCTTTTGAATTGGTGCCTTTTCCTAGACCATGTTGCTATGTAGACCATGTTGCTATGTATACCATGTTGCTATGTAGACCATGTTGCTATGTGCATAACAGTAAAGTTAACCAGCATGTTGGTGTTGAGACCAATGCAGTGGCGGCAGCAGAATGACTTAATGCCACAGTCACTCAGTGGTGCAGCAAGTCTGAGCCCGGCCAATCAAATCAATTGTTGTCGGACTCCCCTGTAGCCATTAGTTAGAGTGGGTTTCTGTGCATCAGACAAGCTCAGTGCATATAGTTGATTTGATTATCAGAGTGGGTTTCTGTGCATCAGACAAGCTCAGTGCATATAGTTGATTTGATTATCAGAGTGGGTTTCTGTGCATCAGACAAGCTCAGTGCATATAGTTGATTTGATTAAACCACATAGGATGTCAATATATGGAAAAATACACGTTTTAAAAAGAACCGACTACTCTTGGTCAACCAAGATTATTTTTTAGTCTGGGACAGCCCTAAATTCAACACTTCTTTCCATTGGAAAATGCTGTAAATAATTACCATATAACTTTTTGGTTCTCCTGCTAGCTGCCGTGGGGTTGGGACTACTCTGGCTCCAGTAACCTAGGAGAACTGAAGCTGGTGTTGGAGAAGAGTCTAATGCTACGCCGTCTCAAGTCCGAGGTCCTCTCTCAGCTTCCTGCCAAGCAACGCAAGGTTGTCACGGTGACCACAGACGGTATCAACACCCGCACCAAGGCAGCTCTGTCAGCCGCAGCCAAGGAACTGGCCAAGGGGCAACACAACAACAACGTGAGGACAGGGGAAGAGCTCATACATTTAGACAACCTCTAGATTAAACTAAATGAAAAAGAGAGTTGTTTCTAGAGCATTCCATTGGTAATGTTCCTACAGTTTGAACTTGTTGTGTGAATTGGCTCACATTAAGTCTCGTTAAACACACTCATCTCTTATCTTCTGTTGGGTTTTTTTATTTTTTTCATTTCAGAAGATAAAGGAGGCTCTGCTGGTTTTCTTTAACCACACAGCTGAGGCCAAGATTAAAGCGATCATGTGAGTTTGAAAGCGTTTACCACACGTTGAGGGTACACTTCTGAGAGCATGCTGTTGTAGACACGGCAGTTCTGTTTTGTTTCTGTTATTCAGGGAGTACATCATGGACTTGTTAGAGTGCGGAAGAGAGAAATTCCTGGTGTTTGCTCATCACAAGCTGGTCCTGGACTCCATCACCAAGGGGCTGGGAGAGAAGGTGAGGAGAACAGGATGAACAGGCCAAAGATTAACACGTTGGGTTAGATGACTCACTTTTCTAGTGAATATTGAAATCAGTACAGACTTGTCATGACTCCTGGAAGAGGGACGAGGGGTTTTAGTGTATCTTTAGGTAGATGACTTGCTTTTTTTTGTAAATATTTAAAACACGACGGAGGAACAAAAATAGCATAAATAGGAAATAATGGTTTCATTTGAGGACCAGGATGTTGGCAGCTGTGCCATACAGATTGCAAAATAGTTGGGAAGAGATTTTTGATGTACCGATTCCATGGTACAGGGTGTATGAGTTGATATATAAAACGACGCAAGATTCAAGACTTCGTGCTTTTCAGCTAAAATGATTGTATAGAATTCTTGCCACCAACAAAATGTTGAATATTTGGGGCATACAATCATCGAAGCTCTGCAGATTTTGTTGTGAGGATACAGAATCAATAGACCATTTGTTCTGGTATTGCCCTCAGGTAGCCTGCTTCTGGTCTCAGGTTCAGGGATAACTAAATATGTATAACATTAATCTAAAATTGACCCTAGAAATAGTACTGTTGGGAGATCTGGAGAGACCGGGTCAGTCAATTACTAATATACTAATACTCTTAGTAAAAGTATTTATCTTCAACTCGCAATCTGTGGATTCTGTTCGATTTAGATAGATTGAAATTGTATGTTAAACATCACAGCATATCTGAAAGATATATGGGGAGTAGAGATCTGAAGAGGGTAGCGAGCAGAGATAGGTGGGATGGGCTGAGGGAGGCTGAGGGTTGGGATGGGCTGAGGGAAGCTGAGGGTTGGGATGGGCTGAGGGAAGCTGAGGGGTGGGATGGAGAGATAGGTGGGATGGGCTGAGGGAGGCTGAGGGGTGGGATGGGCTGAGGGAGGCTGAGGGGTGGGATGGAGAGATAGGTGGGATGGGCTGAGGGAGGCTGAGGGGTGGGATGGAGAGATAGGTGGGATGGGCTGAGGGAGGCTGAGGGGTGGGATGGGCTGAGGGAGGCTGAGGGGTGGGATGGGCTGAGGGAGGCTGAGGGGTGGGATGGGCTGAGTGGAGGCTGAGGTTGGGGATGGGCTGAGGAGGCTGAGGGTTGGGATGGGCTGAGGAGGCTGAGGGTGGGATGGAGATGGTGGGATGGGCTGAGGGAGGCTGAGGGTTGGGATGGGCTGAGGGAGGCTGAGGGTTGGGATGGAGAGTAGGTGGATGGGTAGGGTGAGGGTGGGATGGCTGAGGGAGGCTGAGGGGTTGGGATGGGCTGAGGGAGGCTGAGGGTGGGATGGAGAGATAGGTGGGATGGGCTGAGGTGGATGGCTGAGGAGGCTGAGGGGGTGGGGATAGTGGGTGGGCTGAGGGAGGCTGAGGGTGGGATGGGCTGAGGGAGGCTGAGGGTTGGGATGGAGCAGAGAGGCTGGGTGGGATGGAGAGTAGGTGGGATGGGCTGAGGGAGGCTGAGGGTTGGGATGGAGAGATAGGTGGGATGGGCTGAGGGAGGCTGAGGGTGGGATGGGCTGAGGGAGGCTGAGGTTGGATGGGTTAGGGGATGGGCTGAGAGGGAGGTGGGATGGCTGAGGAGGTGGGTGGGATGGGGAGAGGTAGGTGGGATGGGCTGAGGGAAGCTGAGGGTTGGGATGGAGAGATAGGTGGGATGGGCTGAGGGAAGCTGAGGGTGGGATGGGCTGAGGGAGGCTGAGGGTTGGGATGGCGAGAGCTAGGGTGGGATGAGGATGAGGGGATGGCTGAGGAGCTGAGGTTGGGATGGGAGTGGTGGGATGGGCTGAGGGTTGGATGGAGATGGTGGGATGGGCTGAGGGCTGAGGTTGGGAGGGAGTGTGGATGGGCTGAGGGAGGCTGAGGGTTGGGATGGAGAGATAGGTGGGATGGGCTGAGGGAGGCTGAGGTTGGGATGGGAGATGTGGGAGCTGGGATGAGGGATGGCTGTGAGGGTTGGGATGGGCTGAGGGAGCTGAGGGGTGGGATGGAGAGATAGGTGGGATGGGCTGAGGGAGGCTGAGGGTTGGGATGGAGAGATAGGTGGGATGGGCTAGGAGTGAGGGTTGGGATGGGAGATAGGTGGGATGGGCTGAGGGAAGCTGAGGGTTGGGATGGAGAGATAGGTGGGATGGGCTGAGGGAAGCTGAGGGTGGGATGGGAGGGAGAGCTGAGGTGGGATGGGCTGAGGGAGCTGAGGGTTGGGATGGAGAGATAGGTGGGATGGGCTAGGAGCTGTGGATGGGCGAGAGCTGAGGGTTGGGATGGAGAGATAGGGATGGCTGATGGAGCTGAGGGGGAATGGCTGAGGCGTTGGGTGGGGGGAGATAGGTGGGATGGGCTGAGGGAGGCTGAGGGTTGGGATGGAGAGATAGGTGGGATGGGCTGAGGGAAGCTGAGGGTTGGGATGGAGAGATAGGTGGGATGGGCTGAGGGAAGCTGAGGGTTGGGATGGGGAGATAGGTGGGATGGGCTGAGGGAAGCTGAGGGGTGGGATGGGCTGAGGGAGGCTGAGGGTTGGGATGGGATGAGGGAGGCTGAGGGTTGGGATGGAGAGATAGGTGGGATGGAGCTGAGGGTTGGATGAGGTAGGTGGATGGGCTGAGGGAGGGTGAGGGTTGGGATGGAGAGATAGGTGGGATGGGCTGAGGGAGCTGAGGGTTGGGATGGGTGAAGGGAGGCTAGGGTGGGATGGGCTGATGGAGGCTAGGGTTGGGATGGGCTGAGGGTAGGGATGGAGAGATAGGTGGGATGGGCTGAGGGAGGACTGAGAAGGGTGGGATGGGCTGAGGGAGCTGAGGGTTGGGATGGAGAGATAGGTGGGATGGGCTGAGGGAGCTGAGGGTGGGATGGGCGAGGTGGGATGGCTAGGGGCTGAGGGTGGATGGAGAGATAGGTGGGATGGGCTGAGGAAGCTGAGGGTTGGGATGGAGAGACTAGGTGGGATGGCGAGGACTGAGGCGGGGATGAGAATAGGTGGATGGCTCAGGAACATTGGAGTAGAGATAAGGATCGAGGGAAAGCTAGGTTTGGAGTAGTGCATCCGAGGGAGCTGAGGTTGGATGAGAGATAGTGGGTGGGCCTGAAGGGAAGCCTGAGGGTTGGATGAGCATAGTGGATGCTGACGAGGCCTGAGGGTTATAGAAGCACAGGATGACAGGACACACAGGCACATGACTGAACACAGCACATACGGGGACACCTAGGGAACTGAGTTGATGACAGCAAGGGGATGGGCTGGCAGCAGTAGGCTTTGATGGAGAGATCCAGGAGGCATGACGGACAAGACGAGGCTTGGATGTGAATGAACAAGTGGAGTGGAGTGCTGCGGGATAGAATGACGGTCAAGATAAAGCAAACAATTAAGTCAAAATAGAAAGCATAAAAAAGTAGTTTATGCCACGAGGGGCAGTGTTGTTACAGCTAATGCCGTTTCCTGAAGTGATGCCCAGGTGTTGTCAATGGATTAACACTCATTCAAACACAACGGTAACAGACCCACAGCACAACCAGGCACCACCGGCACTACCGACCCGGCACTACGGACCCAACCGCACTACCGGACACCACACCTGGTAAGGACCACAACACGCACAACCGGAACACACAACCCTACCAACCCTGGGAAACCGACAACACCCTACTCCGGACCACACCCAACCAACCAACACCAGGCCTAATAACCACAATGTAACCTACCCTTACTTAATACCCCTAACCCTTGGGGTTAAGGAGGTACCTGACTAACCCTTAACCCCTAACCCTGGGGTAAGGACCTGACTAACCCTTAACCCCTAACCCTGGGGTAAGGACCTGACTAACCCTTAACCCCTAACCCTGGGGTAAGGACCTGACTAACCCTTAACCCCTAACCCTGGGGTAAGGACCTGACTAACCCTTAACCCCTAACCCTTAACCCCTAACCCTGGGGTAAGGACCTGACTAACCCTTAACCCCTAACCCTTAACCCCTAACCCTGGGGTAAGGACCTGACTAACCCTTAACCCCCAACCCTGGGGTAAGGACCTGACTACCCTTAACCCCTAACCCTGGGGTAAGGACCTGACTAACCCTTAACCCCTAACCCTGGGGTAAGGACCTGACTAACCCTTAACCCCTAACCCTGGGGTAAGGACCTGACTAACCCTTAACCCCTAACCCTGGGGTAAGGACCTGACTAACCCTTAACCCCTAACCCTGGGGTAAGGACCTGACTAACCCTTAACCCCTAACCCTGGGGTAAGGACCTGACTAACCCTTAACCCCTAACCCTGGGGTAAGGTTCTGACTAACCCTTAACCCCTAACCCTGGGGTAAGGTCCTGACTAACCCTTAACCCCTAACCCTTAACCCCTAACCCTGGGGTAAGGTCCTGACTAACCCTTAACCCCCTAGAGTCGATGTCCGCGGCCCCGTTAGCATAATACAAAAATCTCCATCAAAATCTGTCAGTTTAAGATAGAGATATCCGTTTTTTTTTGGCATGGGCTGCATCTCAATCAACTGCATCCGCTATGTAAGACTTCTGCATCTTTGGTGAAAGGTGACCGAGCTAGAGTGGTGTTTGTCAGACCATGAGACATCCCGAAAATCGTTCTTCTCACGAAAACGTCCGTAGCGTCTGAACGGTTTGGCCCACAAACTATTATGACCCCTTTATGGAAAGATCAGACTCTCTCTGTTTTGCTCTACGTCCCCCAAAAGCATTGCAATGATTGCAATATTTACCTGGAGCTAACCCTGCAGATAGCACTACTGGGTGATCTGAAAAGTCATAGTCAATCGATCAATAATATAATAATACTTTTAGCAAAAATGTTTATTTTCAATGTACAATCTGTAGAAACAATGAGAATCGAAAGGTTCAGAACTTTTGTAAAACATCACAGTACGGTTGAAATATATATGGCAAATAGAAATCCTATATGGATGGTGTTAAGAGATAGATGGGAGGTGTTGAATGGAGCTGAAGGATGGGACTAATAACAACAAGATAACTAATGTAAAACATACTGTGTCCATAATAAGTATATAGGTTATAGGTTAAGAACTTTTGTGAAAGAGCACAGTTAGAAAGATATGGCATATAGAAGCAAACCGGATGGACATCATGAAAATGATCAGAGAGGTTGAGGGTAGAGGAAGTTCAGGAGAAAAAAACAAACAAAATAGAATTATTGTAAAATTGACTGTGTCCATCAAATGTATATAGTATGTATAAGCTGGAAGTAGAGGCCTAATCATTGTTGTTCACTAGTTTACTCCAATTAGGGAAGGGGTGGTGGGGTTGGAAAGTAATAAAGGAAAATATGTTTTAAAAAAGGATATATATGTATGTGTATTTGTATGTATACAGTACCAGTCAAAGGTTTGGACACACCTACTCATTCAAGGATTTTTCTATATTTTTACTATTTTCTACATTGTAGAATAATATTGAAGACATCAAAACTATGAAATACCACATATGGAATCATGTAGTAACCAAAAGTTGTATATTTCAGATTCTTCAAATAGCCACCCTTTGCCTTGATGACAGCTTTGCACACTCTTGGCATTCTCTCAACCAGCGTCACCTGGAATGCTTTTCCAACAGTCTTGAAGGAGTTCCCACATATGCTGAGCACTTGTTAGCTGCTTTTCCTTCACTCTGCCGTCCTACTCATCCCAAACCATCTCAATTGGGTTGAGGTCGGGGGATTATGGAGGCCAGGTCATCTGATGCAGCACTCCATCACTCTCCTTCTTGGTAAAAGAGCCCTTACACAGCCTGGTGGTGTGTTGGGTCATTGTCCTGTTGAAAAACAAATTATAGTCTCACTAAGCCCAAACCAGATGGGATGGTGTATCGTTGCAGAATGCTGTGGTAGCCATGCTGGTTAAGTGTGCCTTGAATTCTAAATCAATCACAGACAGTGTCACCAGCAAAGCACCCCCACACCATAACACCGCCTCCTCCATGCTTTACAGTGGGAACTACACATGCGGAGATCATCCGTTCACCCACACCGCGTCTCACAAAGACAAGCAGGTCTCTTCTTCTTATTGGTGTCCTTTAGTAGTGGTTTCTTTGCAGCAATTCGACAATGAAGGCCTGATTCACACAGTCCCCTCTGAACAGTTGATGTTGAGATATGTCTGTTACTTGAACTCTGTGAAGCATTTATTTGGCCTGCAATTTCTGAGGCTGGTAACTCTAATGAACTTATCCTCTGCAGCAGAGGTAACTCTGGGTCTTCCATTCCTGTGGCGGTCCTCATGAGAGCCAGTTTCATCATAGCGCTTGATGGTTTTTGCGACTGCAATTGAAGAAACTTTCAAAGTTCTTGACATTTTCAGTATTGACTGACCTTCATGTCTTAAAGTAATGATGGACTGTCATTTCTCTTTGCTTATTTGACCTTTTCTTGCCATAATATGGACTTGGTCTTTTACCAAATAGGGCTATCTTCTGTATACCCCCCCTACCTTGTCACAACACAGCTGATTGGCTCAAACGCATTAAGACGGAAATATGCCAAGAGTGTGCAAAGCTGTCATCAAGGCAAAGGGTGGCTATTTGAAGAATATAAAATATATTTTGTTTTGTTTTTTAAAAAATTGGTTACTACATGATTCCATATGTGTTATTTCATAGTTTAGATGTCTTCATTATTATTCTACAATGTAGAAAATAGTAAAAAATTAAGAAAAACCCTTGAATTGTGTTTCAGCATGACAATGCCCCCGTGCGCAAAGTGAGGTCCATTCAGAATTGGTTGTCGACATCATCGTGGAGGCTGTTTATAGCAGCAAAGGGGGGACCAACTCCATATTAATGCCCATGATTTTGGAATGAGACTTTCGACGAGCAGGTGTCCACCTGAGAGAGACATACTTTTGGTCATGTAGTGTATTTCTGCCTTATGCACCAATTTCATGTTACCCCTATGACCAGAGAAAGTGAAATATTCCTTTATATTAAAAAGACAAGCCACTAATAATAACAACGCAAGCTTATAGGAACACTTTGCTATAGTCGTTCATTGCAGCTGCAGTGCATTTTATGGCTTATAAAAGTGTTGAACCAAGTGTTGACAGTGCTGAATAGCTTAAACAAGAACTAAAGAGTGGCGCAGTGGTCTAAGGCACTGCATTGAAGTGCTAGCTGTGTCACTAGAGATCCTGGTTCGAATCCAGGCTCTGTCGTAGCTGGCCGCGACCGGGAGACCCATGGGGCGGCGCACAATTGGCCCAGCGTCGTCCAGGGTAGGGGAGGGAATGGCCGGCAGGGATGTAGCTCAGTTGGTAGAGCATGGCGTTTGCAACGCCAGGGTTGTGGGTTCGATTCCCACGGGGGGTATGAAAAAAATAAAATAATAATGTAAGGACCTGACTAACCCTTAACTCCTAACCCTGGGGTAAAGACCTGACTAACCCTTAATCCCTAACCCTGGGGTAAGGACCTGACTAACCCTTAACCCCTAACCCTGGGGTAAGGACCTGACTAACCCTTAACCCCTAACCCTGGGGTAAGGACCTGACTAACCCTTAACCCCTAACCCTTAACCCCTAACCCTGGGGTAAGGACCTGACTAACCCCTAACCCTTAACCCCTAACCCTGGGGTAAGGACCTGACTAACCCTTAACCCCTAACCCTGGGGTAAGGACCTGACTAACCCTTAACCCCTAACCCTGGGGTAAGGACCTGACTAACCCTTAACCCCTAACCCTGGGGTAAGGACCTGACTAACCCTTAACCCCTAACCCTGGGGTAAGGACCTGACTAACCCTTAACCCCTAACCCTGGGGTAAGGACCTGACTAACCCTTAACCCCTAACCCTGGGGTAAGGACCTGACTAACCCTTAACCCCTAACCCTGGGGTAAGGACCTGACTAACCCTTAACCCCTAACCCTGGGGTAAAGTCCTGACTAACCCTTAACCCCTAACCCTGGGGTAAGGACCTGACTAACCCTTAACCCCTAACCCTGGGGTAAGGACCTGACTAACCCTTAACCCCTAACCCTTAACCCCTAACCCTGGGGTAAGGACCTGACTAACCCTTAACCCCTAAACCTGGGGTAAAGACCTGACTAACCCCTAACCCTTAACCCCTAACCCTTAACCCCTAACCCCTAACCCCTAACCCTTAACCCCTAACCCTTAACCCCTAACCCTGGGGTAAGGACCTGACTAACCCTTAACCCCTAACCCTTAACCCCTAACCCTTAACCCTTAACCCCTAACCCTTAACCCCTAACCCTTAACCCCTAACCCTTAACCCCTAACCCTTAACCCCTAACACGCCGCTCTGGTGGTGTTCCCTGAAGTCTTCTGGAACCCTGGAGTAAGGTTCTAACCCTGACCTCTTAACGCCTTACCCAGGGGTGTAAAACTCATTTTGCCCCGGGGGTCGCATTCGGTCTTCAATGAGTTGTAGTTTTTGTCGTTTTATTCGATGCTCCCTGACTGTCTAGCTTTCAATTTGGTGGTTATTAGCCAGCTGGATACAGTCAAAAACGGTATGAATGTAGATCCATTATCATTTCTACACAGTTTGAATTTGGTTTTAGTCATTTTAAAGTATATTGAGTTTGTTTTGACACCTCTGCCCTAACCCCTCACCTTGCACTCTGCTGGTCTGGTGGTATTCTTTGAGCTGTTCTGGAACCCTAACCTGCCTGTTTAAGGAAGGAATGTTCTAATACTGAGAGTATGGGCTGGTAGTGGTTCATGGGGGTGGGTCCCAACTAATGTAGCCTCATGAAGGGACTTCACCTTCCCTGAAATCCCCCAGTGATTAACCCTAACCCTTAACCCTTAACCCCTAACCCCTATCCCCTTATCCCCTAACCCCTTAACCCCTATCCCCTTAACCCCTAACCCCTAACCCCTTAACCCCTAACCCCTTAACCCCTTAACCCCTAACCCCTAACCCTTAACCCCTTAACCCCTTAACCCCTATCCCCCAGTGATTAACCCTTAACCCCTATCCCTTAACCCCTAACCCTTAACCCCTAACCCTGGGGTAAGGACCTGACTAACCCCTAACCCTTAACCCTTAACCCCTTAACCCCTAACCCCCAGAGTGATTAACCCTTAACCCCTAACCCCTTAACCCCTATCCCCCAGAGTGATTAACCCTTAACCCCTAACCCCTTAACCCCTATCCCCCAGAGTGATTAACCCTTAACCCCTAACCCCTTAACCCCTATCCCCCAGTGATTAACCCTTAACCCCTAACCCCTTAACCCCTATCCCCCAGTGATTAACCCTTAACCCCTAACCCCTTAACCCCTATCCTCCAGAGTGATTAACCCTTAACCCCTAACCCCTTAACCCCTATCCCCCAGAGTGATTAACCCTTAACCCCTAACCCCTTAACCCCTATCCCCCAGAGTGATTAACCCTTAACCCCTAACCCCTTAACCCCTATCCCCCAGAGTGATTAACCCTTAACCCCTAACCCCTTAACCCCTATCCCCCAGTGATTAACCCTTAACCCCTAACCCCTTAACCCCTATCCCCCAGAGTGATTAACCCTTAACCCCTAACCCCTTAACCCCTATCCCCCAGAGTGATTAACCCTTAACCCCTAACCCCTTAACCCCTATCCCCCAGAGTGATTAACCCTTAACCCCTAACCCCTTAACCCCTATCCCCCAGGGATTAACCCTTAACCCCTAACCCCTTAACCCCTATCCCCCAGAGTGATTAACCCTTAACCCCTAACCCCTTAACCCCTATCCCCCAGAGTGATTAACCCTTAACCCCTAACCCCTTAACCCCTATCCCCCAGAGTGATTAACCCTTAACCCCTAACCCCTTAACCCCTATCCCCCAGTGATTAACCCTTAACCCCTAACCCCTTAACCCCTATCCCCCAGAGTGATTAACCCTTAACCCCTAACCCCTTAACCCCTATCCCCCAGAGTGATTAACCCTTAACCCCTAACCCCTTAACCCCTATCCCCCAGTGATTACATTTGCTATTCACTTGAACGTTACCAAACAGAGTGACAGGGACTTGGTTGACTGAAAAGTTCTGAATGCTAGTGAAACCTACAGCTGCTCTGTACTGTTCATATATCCTCCTATACTGTTTACCATACTCATAATGATGTCCTCTGGAATCTATCAGATAATGATCCAGGCTGAGGACAGAGTGCATCGTATCGGTCAGACCAGCAACGTGGACATTCATTACCTGGTCGCCAAGGGAACCGCAGATGACTACCTGTGGTAAGTCTGCTCCTCCTACTGTTGAATCGATCTGAACTGCCTGGAGCTAACCTCTATACTCTATCTATTAGGTGATATATTTCTGAAGAAACCCTTTTGTATGTATGTAGGCCCATGATCCAGGAGAAGATGAATGTTCTGGAGCAGGTGGGGCTCTCAGAATCCAACCTGTTAGAGAAGGCAGAGTCTGCCAGATTCCACTCCAAGGTGAGATGGGCTACACAGTGCCCTTACACAGGCCTTACGCACCCCTTACACACCCCTTACACACCCCTTACACAGGCCTTACACAGGCCTTACATACCCCTTACACAGGCCTTACACACCCCTTACACAGGCCTTACACACCCCTTACACAGGCCTTACATACCCCTTACGCACCCCTTACACAGGCCTTACACAGGCCTTACACAGGCCTTACACACCCCTTACACAGGCCTTACATACCCCTTACGCACCCCTTACACAGGCCTTACACACCCCTTACACAGGCCTTACACACCCCTTACACAGGCCTTACATACCCCTTACACACCCCTTACACAGGCCTTACACAGGCCTTACACACCCCTTACACAGGCCTTACACACCCCTTACACAGGCCTTACACAGGCCTTACATACCCCTTACACAGGCCTTACACACCCCTTACACAGGCCTTACACACCCCTTACACAGGCCTTACATACCCCTTACGCACCCCTTACACACCCCTTACACAGGCCTTACACACCCCTTACACAGGCCTTACGCACACCTTACACACCCCTTATACAGGCCTTACACACCCCTTACACACCCCTTACACAGGCCTTACACACCCCTTACACAGGCCTTACACAGGCCTTACGCACACCTTACACACCCCTTATACAGGCCTTACACAGGCCTTACACAGGCCTTACATACCCCTTACACAGGCCTTACACACCCCTTACACAGGCCTTACACACCCCTTACATACCCCTTACACAGGCCTTACACACCCCTTACACAGGCCTTACACACCCCTTACACAGGCCTTACACACCCCTTACACATCCCTTAAACAGGCCTTACACAGGCCTTACACACCCCTTACACACCCCTTAAACAGGCCTTACACACCCCTTACACACCCCTTACACACCCCTTAAACAGGCCTTACACAGGCCTTACACACCCCTTACACACCGCTTACACAGGCCTTACACACCCCTTACATACCCCTTACACAGGCCTTACACACCCCTTACACAGGCCTTACACACCCCTTACACAGGCCTTACACACCCCTTACACACCCCTTAAACAGGCCTTACACAGGCCTTACACACCCCTTACACACCCCTTACACACCCCTTAAACAGGCCTTAAACAGGCCTTACACACCCCTTACACACCCCTTACACACCCCTTAAACAGGCCTTAAACAGGCCTTACACACCCCTTACACACCCCTTACACAGGCCTTAAACAGGCCTTACACACCCCTTACACACCCCTTACATACCCCATATTCTGTGTTATGAAGTGTTTCTGTGTTATGAAGTGTTTCTGTGTTATGTAGTGTTTCTGTGTTATGTAGTGTTTCTGTGTTATGTAGTGTTTCTGTGTTATGAAGTGTTTCTGTGTTATGTAGTGTTTCTGTGTTATGTAGTGTTTCTGTGTTATGTAGTGTTTCTGTGTTATGTAGTGTTTCTGTGTTATGTAGTGTTTCTGTGTTATGTAGTGTTTCTGTGTTGTGTAGTGTTTCTGTGTTATGTAGTGTTTCTGTGTTATGAAGTGTTTCTGTGTTATGTAGTGTTTCTGTGTTATGTAGTGTTTCTGTGTTATGTAGTGTTTCTGTGTTATGTAGTGTTTCTGTGTTATGAAGTGTTTCTGTGTGTTATGTAGTGTTTCTGTGTGTTATGTAGTGTTTCTGTGTTATGTAGTGTTTCTGTGTTATGTAGTGTTTCTGTGTTATGTAGTGTTTCTGTGTTATGTAGTGTTTCTGTGTTGTGTAGTGTTTCTGTGTTGTGTAGTGTTTCTGTGTTATGTAGTGTTTCTGTGTTATGAAGTGTTTCTGTGTTATGTAGTGTTTCTGTGTTATGTAGTGTTTCTGTGTTATGTAGTGTTTCTGTGTTATGTAGTGTTTCTGTGTGTTATGTAGTGTTTCTGTGTGTTATGTAGTGTTTCTGTGTTATGTAGTGTTTCTGTGTTATGTAGTGTTTCTGTGTTATGTAGTGTTTCTGTGTGTTATGTAGTGTTTCTGTGTGTTATGTAGTGTTTCTGTGTTATGTAGTGTTTCTGTGTTATGTAGTGTTTCTGTGTTATGTAGTGTTTCTGTGTTATGTAGTGTTTCTGTGTGTTATGTAGTGTTTCTGTGTGTTATGTAGTGTTTCTGTGTTATGTAGTGTTTCTGTGTTATGTAGTGTTTCTGTGTTAAATCAAATCAAATCAAATTTTATTGGTCACATGCGCCGAATACAACAGGTGCAGACATTACAGTGAAATGCTTACTTACAGCCCTTAACCAACAGTGCACTTATTTTAAACAAAAAAAGTAAGAATAAAACAACAACAAAAAAAGTGTTGAGAAAAAAAGAGCAGAAGTAAAATAAAGTGACAGTAGGGAGGCTATATATACAGTAAAATAAAGTGACAGTAGGGAGGCTATATATACAGGGGGGTACCGTTGCAGAGTCAATGTGCGGGGGCACCGGCTAGTTGAGGTAGTTGAGGTAATATGTACATGTGGGTAGAGTTAAAGTGACTATGCATAAATACTTAACAGAGTAGCAGCAGCGTAAAAAGGATGGGGTGGGGGGGCAGTGCAAATAGTCCGGGTAGCCATGATTAGCTGTTCAGGAGTCTTATGGCTTGGGGGTAGAAGCTGTTGAGAAGTCTTTTGGACCTAGACTTGGCACTCCGGTACCGCTTGCCGTGCGGTAGCAGAGAGAACAGTCTATGACTAGGGTGGCTGGAGTCTTTGACAATTTTGAGGGCCTTCCTCTGACACCGCCTGGTATAGAGGTCCTGGATGGCAGGAAGCTTTGCCCCAGTGATGTACTGGGCCGTACGCACTACCCTCTGTAGTGCCTTGCGGTCAGAGGCCAAGCAGTTGCCATACCAGGCGGTGATGCAACCAGTCAGGATGCTTTCGATGGTGCAGCTGTAGAATTTTTTGAGGATCTGAGGACCCATGCCAAATCTTTTTAGTCTCCTGAGGGGGAATAGGCTTTGTCGTGCCCTCTTCACGACTGTCTTGGTGTGTTTGGACCATGATAGTTCGTTGGTGATGTGGACACCAAGGAACTTGAAGCTCTCAACCTGTTCCACTACAGCCCCGTCGATGAGAATGGGGGCGTGCTCAGTCCTCTTTTTTGTTTCCTGTAGTCCACAATCATCTCCTTTGTCTTGGTCACGTTGAGGGAGAGGTTGTTGTCCTGGCACCACACGGCCAGATCTCTGACCTCCTCCCTATAGGCTGTCTCATCGTTGTCGGTGATCAGGCCTACCACTGTTGTGTCGTCGGCAAACTTAATGATGGTGTTGGAGTCGTGCCTGGCCATGCAGTCATGGGTGAACAGAGAGTACAGGAGGGGACTGAGCACGCACCCCTGAGGGGCCCCCGTGTTGAGGATCAGTGTGGCAGATGTGTTGTTACCTACCCTTACCACCTGGGGGCGGCCCGTCAGGAAGTCCAGGATCCAGTTGCAGAGGGAGGTGTTTAGTCCCAGGATCCTTAGCTTAGTGATGAGCTTAGAGGGCACTATGGTGTTGAATGCTGAGCTGTAGTCAATGAATAGCATTCTCACGTAGGTGTTCCTCTTGTCCAGGTGGGAAAGGGCAGTGTGGAGTGCGATAGAGATTGCATCATCTGTGGATCGGTTGGGGCGGTATGCAAATTGGAGTGGGTCTAGGGTTTCTGGGATTATGCTGTTGATGTGAGCCATGACCAGTCTTTCAAAGCACTTCATGGCTACAGACGTCAGTGCTACGGGTCGGTAGTCATTTAGGCAGGTTATCTTAGAGTTCTTGGGCACGGGGACTATGGTGGTCTGCTTGAAACATGTTGGTATTACAGACTCAGTCAGGGACATGTTGAAAATGTCAGTGAAGACACTTGCCAGTTGGTCAGCACATGCTCGGAGTACACGTCCTGGTAATCCGTCTGGCCCTGCGGCCTTGTGAATGTTGACCTGCTTAAAAGTCTTACTCACATCGGCTACGGAGAGCGTGATCACATAGTCGTCCGGAACAGCTGGTGCTCTCATGCATGCTTCAGTGTTGCTTGCCTCGAAGCGAGCATAGAAGTGGTTTAGCTCGTCTGGTAGGCTTGTGTCACTGGGCAGCTCGCGGCTGTGCTTCCCTTTGTAGTCTGTAATAGTTTTCAAGCCCTGCCACATCCGACGAGCGTCAGAGCCAGTGTAGTATGATTCAATCTTAGACCTGTATTGACTCTTTGCCTGTTTGATGGTTCGTCGGAGGTCATAGCGGTATTTCTTATAAGCGTCCGGGTTAGAGTCCCGTTCCTTGAAAGCGGCAGCTCTACCCTTTAGCTCAGTGCGGATGTTTCCTGTAATCCATGGCTTCTGGTTGGAGTATGTACGTACGGTCACTGTGGGGACGACATCATCGATGCACTTATTGATGAAGCCAGTGACTGATGTGGTGTACTCCTCAATGCTGTCTGAAGAATCCCGGAACATGTTCCAGTCTGTGCTAGCAAAACAGTCCTGTAGCTTAGCATCTGCGTCATCTGACCACTTTTTTATTAACCGAATCACTGGTGCTTCCTGCTTCAGTTTTTGCTCATAAGCAGGAATCAGGAGGATAGAGTTATGGTCAGATTTGCCAAATGGAGGGCGAGGGAGAGCTTTGTATGCGTCTCTGTGTGTGGAGTAAAGGTGGTCTAGAGTTTTTTTCCCTCTGGTTGCACATTTAACATGCTGGTAGAAATTAGGTAGAACGGATTTAAGTTTCCCTGCATTAAAGTCCCCGGCTACTAGGAGCGCTGCATCTGGATGAGCGTTTTCCTGTTGATTAATGGCCTTGGACAACTCATTCAGTGCAATCTTAATGCCAGCATTGGTTTGTGGTGGTAAATAGACAGCTATGAAAAATATAGATGAAAACTCTCTTGGTAAATAGTGTGGTCTACAGCTTATCATAAGATACTCTACCTCAGGCGAGCAAAACCTCGAGACTTCCTTAGTATTTGATTTTGTGCACCAGCTGTTGTTTACAAATATACAGAGACCGCCACCCCTTGTCTTACCAGAGTCAGACGTTCTGTCCTGCCGATGTAGCGTATAGCCCGCTAGCTGAATGTTGTCATTGTTGTCGTTCAGCCACGACTCCGTGAAACATAAGATATTACAGTTTTTAATGTCCCGTTGGTAGGATAACCGTAATCTTAAATCGTCAATTTTATTCTCAAAAGATTGAACGTTGGCTAATAGGATTGATGGGAGAGGCAGTTTACTCGCTCGCCGTCGGATCCTTACAAGGCACCCGGATCTGCGTCCGCGATATCTCCGTCTCTTCCTCACGCGAATGACGGGGATCTGGGCCTTGTCGGGTGTCTGTAGGATATCCTTCGCGAACGCCTCGTTGAAGAAAAAATCTTCGTCCAATGCGAGGTGAGTAATCGCTGTCCTGATATCCAGAAGCTCTCTTTGGTTATAAGAGACGATGGCAGAAACATTATGTACAAAATAAATTACAAATAACGCGGAAAAACACACATAATAGTACAATTGGTTAGAGGGCTGTAAAACGGCAGCCATCTTCTCCGGCGCTGTGCTCTCACTGTTATGTAGTGTTTCTGTGTTATGTAGTGTTTCTGTGTTATCAAATCAAATTGTATTGGTCACATGCGCCGAATACAACAGGTGCAGACATTACAGTGAAATGCTTACTTACAGCCCTTAACCAACAGTGCATTTATTTTAAACAAAAAAGTAAGAATAAAACAACAACAAAAAAAGTGTTGAGAAAAAAAGAGCAGAAGTAAAATAAAGTGACAGTAGGGAGGCTATATATACAGGGGGGTACCGGTGCAGAGTCAATGTGCGGGGGCACCGGCTAGTTGAGGTAGTTGAGGTAATATGTACATGTGGGTAGAGTTAAAGTGACTATGCATAAATACTTAACAGAGTAGCAGCAGCGTAAAAAGGATGGGGTGGGGGGGCAGTGCAAATAGTCCGGGTAGCCATGATTAGCTGTTCAGGAGTCTTATGGCTTGGGGGTAGAAGCTGTTGAGAAGTCTTTTGGACCTAGACTTGGCACTCCGGTACCGCTTGCCGTGCGGTAGCAGAGAGAACAGTCTATGACTAGGGTGACTGGAGTCTTTGACAATTTTGAGGGCCTTCCTCTGACACCGCCTGGTATAGAGGTCCTGGATGGCAGGAAGCTTTGCCCCAGTGATGTACTGGGCCGTACGCACTACCCTCTGTAGTGCCTTGCGGTCAGAGGCCAAGCAGTTGCCATACCAGGCGGTGATGCAACCAGTCAGGATGCTCTCGATGGTGCAGCTGTAGAATTTTTTTGAGGATCTGAGGACCCATGCCAAATCTTTTTAGTCTCCTGAGGGGGAATAGGCTTTGTCGTGCCCTCTTCACGACTGTCTTGGTGTGTTTGGACCATGATAGTTCGTTGGTGATGTGGACACCAAGGAACTTGAAGCTCTCAACCTGTTCCACTACAGCCCCGTCGATGAGAATGGGGGCGTGCTCAGTCCTCTTTTTTTCCCTGTAGTCCACAATCATCTCCTTTGTCTTGGTCACGTTGAGGGAGAGGTTGTTGTCCTGGCACCACACGGGCAGATCTCTGACCTCCTCCCTATAGGCTGTCTCATCGTTGTCGGTGATCAGGCCTACCACTGTTGTCGTCGGCAAACTTAATGATGGTGTTGGAGTCGTGCCTGGCCATGCAGTCATGGGTGAACAGAGAGTACAGGAGGGGACTGAGCACGCACCCCTGAGGGGCCCCCGTGTTGAGGATCAGTGTGGCAGATGTGTTGTTACCTACCCTTACCACCTGGGGGCGGCCCGTCAGGAAGTCCAGGATCCAGTTGCAGAGGGAGGTGTTTAGTCCCAGGATCCTTAGCTTAGTGATGAGCTTAGAGGGCACTATGGTGTTGAATGCTGAGCTGTAGTCAATGAATAGCATTCTCACGTAGGTGTTCCTCTTGTCCAGGTGGGAAAGGGCAGTGTGGAGTGCGATAGAGATTGCATCATCTGTGGATCTGTTGGGGCGGTATGCAAATTGGAGTGGGTCTAGGGTTTCTGGGATTATGCTGTTGATGTGAGCCATGACCAGTCTTTCAAAGCACTTCATGGCTACAGACGTCAGTGCTACGGGTCGGTAGTCATTTAGGCAGGTTATCTTAGTGTCCTTGGGTACGGGGACTATGGTGGTCTGCTTGAAACATGTTGGTATTACAGACTCAGTCAGGGACATGTTGAA